CTTCATTTGTTGAGTGTTTTGATTTTGTTTGCAGCTTCTCTATTAATGCTCAGATCTCAGTTGCCGTCATATATGAAAAAAGAACCACCAATCGAAGCACTGATCAGTTTCCTTTCTACAAGGTTCAGTCCTTCATAGAAGCACTGCTATAACTGATAGTCATTGATTCCATGTTGTGGGCAGCATGCCAGTAACTTCTTGAAACGCTCCCATTAAGTGTGAAGAGCCTCTCTTTTTTCCTTGCTTTATGGCAATGATTTCTCTACGGAGGTTGGACACTTTCGCTTCTGGAAAATATTTTTCCATAAAAAGATTTGCTAACTCGTTCCATGTAGTGATTAATCCAGAAGGGAGATCTTACAACCACTCTTTTGTTGCGTCTTGGACAGAAAAGGGGAATGCCCTTAACTTGACATGGTCTTCCAAGATAGCATGTGGCTTCATCCCAGAGCATACTACGTGAAACTCCTTGAGAAACTTATGTGGATCTTCATTCTCATGACCTCGGAAAGTTGGGAGAAGATGAAGTAAAACAGACTTCAGCTCAAAGTTCTGGGCTTCTGGAAATGTGATATACAAAGGCTGGTGTGTAACATCTTGAGCCACCCATTCTCTGAGAGTCTTTTCAGGATCGTCTACATGTTCGCTCATGGCTAGTTCTGTTTCGGTATCTTAATCAATTGGTTCGGGTGCTTCAGATTTAATGGAGGGTAGTGGTTTGTAGGTTTTGAACGGACTATAGGTAGGTGAGGATAGGCGTGCTTTAGGAAAGGATGGACAGGTTATCTCACACTCATTCCACAAGGGACTTCCTTGCAGATTTGTTTCTTCTAATGCTAGAGAAAATGTTGATACGAAAAAACCCTGTCACGTTTTCCGCTGAAGTGCTTCTTTTCCGAGTTTTCTTGATGTCTTCTCTATTTCTGGATAGAGTTGTAGTGGAGTACATGTATGTGAAGATCTTGGCATAAAAATATTAGTGTTTGTTGTGTCCCCGACAACGGTGCCAATTTGTTAGGATCGTGCACAACACCTAAACAAATAAATAATTTAAATAAAATATTGCTCAAATACACTATGCGATAGTACAGGAAAGCAGAGTCGAATCCATAGGAACACGTCCTAAGGTCTATGCCTCTCTTGCATAAGGCACACACTAATTTAACATAAATTAAAATAGGGGATTTTGTTGATTACTAAAACTAAATTAGACAGAAATTTATAAAAGAAAAAACCCAACTTAAATACTAGAGTAAATTCAGAGAGTAAAAGCAATTTCAGTTTTGCAGTGACTCTCCTAATCATGAAAATAACTTTCAACACGATAATAGAGTTGTGTAAATATTAAATTGGTACTGAAAATCATTAATAAACTCTAACAATTTTCTGTTACTAAAATGTTTAACCAAAAAAAGCTCTTTGAATTAAACCTTACTTTTTACTGAATTAACCAGATAAGCTCTTAATATATTTAGAAAAGTAGCATTAGACACAATGCAAAATTCCCAGTAAAGTCTAATACTTCTCACAAGCTCGGAAGCGTAAAGACTTGTTTGATCAGTTTATATTGGAGTTAATCCTAACAGAACCAATCTTATATTTGTTACTTTTACTGATTAATAAAGACAATTACGGATCTAGATAAATCAGTTAACTGGAATGATTCAATAACAATTAAAGTGGCCAACAGAAATTGAATCAAAATCAAACTTTCAATTAAGCATAAAACTGAGCAAACTAAACAGTAAACACAATCAAAAGTTGTGCCTAATGATACCTTGCACGAAAAGAAGAGTCGTTTACAAAAGTGAAATCTAGGGTTTTTAGTCTGACATGGCTAAAAACGAATTACAAAAGTTGAAATTAATATCTAACTGATAAATTTTACTAAGCTGATAACATAGATCAAATCGGGTTCTTCAGATCGCCCTGGTCGAAACTTAGGGTTGCATGAATGTTATAAGGGCCTTATTATACGTCCATCCAAAATTCGGAGATTTCGGCGATCGCATATATAAGAAATGGGATCACATTTTTCATGAAAACGCGTCCCGAAGTGAATTGATGATGTACGATGCCATTTTGGAACTTCTTGAATCTTCGAAGGTAAAGTGCGATTGCAGAAGTGAGAAATGCGATCGCATTTCCGGTCTTTTTTTCTCAAATCGAATTTGTGACATGTAGAAAACCTCAAAGCACAAATGCAACTGCAGAAGTAGGAAATGTGATTCTCATTTTTTTCATATTGTTGATGTTCGGTTGCAGTTCTTCCTTTTAAGCAGTACCAAGTCATTCTTCAACATCCTTCTTCAATTCCGACTCCATTAAGCTCCCATGCTTTCCTAGAACGCATCCCGATGTTTCGTATTCTCAATGTTCTCTAATTTTCCATAAAAGTCATAACAAAAGTGAGTAGTACGAGCATTCTTCAAATATAATGAGTTGTATGCAATTCCAAATAATAGTAGGGAGATATTAGGCTTTTTATAACAAAATACTGAAAATATCGTGCTAAAAGATGCATGTAAAATGCATCTAACATGAAGTTATGATTTTTAGAAGTTTTGGCGCAATAGTGCGTGACACAGAAACCGTAATAGAAATCGGTTGATTGTTAGCCAAAACAATCTAAACAAGAGTTGAAGATTTCATAAATACAGTTATGTCGATATAAAGACAGTCAAGAACAAATGTCGTACGAACGAGTTATGATTTTTATACAAGTTTTAACTGTTTAAGCCTATTAAATATATAACTTTAAAAAAAATTGAGAATTAGCCGATGGAGTCCAAAGAAAAGTTGCAGATCTCGTCGATAGCTACACGTGGATATAAAGAACGTGAAAATGGAGCTCGTTTGAGAAAGATACGATTTTTATAAAATAATTATTCTTGAATCACACAACGCGCATCGCTTCTAGACGGTAGGATGCGGACCCCCGGAATTGTGACATGTGGTACGAGCTGGGAGAGCGACATCGCAAGAGCACGTGGCTTGCACCTTAGATTCACATGGAGAATATGGTAAAATCGCCTATAAATACCCTCATATGTCCCCTCCCTTTCCTACACCAAACTTTCTCACATATCTCTCTCTGGTCCGGATTTTGGAGTATTTTTGGGAGTCTGAGGAACTTCACTTTATTGAAACATTAAGGCAAAGGGTCGGGTAAATAGAAGTGCTCAGTATCGAAGCCTTGCCTGCGATCTTCTCGGTTTTCGCTTAAACTCTATGTAAGTTAGGCTACACTTACTATGCTTTAAGTGTAACTTATATTTGTATTCATAGTCATTGTTATGAATGTATAGATAAGAATTATCAGTGATTCTAGTCATAATACTGATTGATCTACTTACGAGAAAGGGGTCTAGAATGGTCACATTGGCTTGGTTGTTGGATTTTAGAAAGCCTATATGTCGAAATTGTCATGCTTCCCAACTATCCTACCTAGCTGATCCTTATTTGATTGAACTCTTGGTATTCATTGGGATTAGTGAAATATCTAGCTTTCATTACCAGTTTGTCATAAAGATTAATAAGTCATAGTATTATATGTTAATGTTTGTTAGGTGCGTTACCCGCTAGTTGGATCGCCAGTAGAATCACCTAGATAGTTGCCAATCATCTGAGTAATTATCCAGGTGAGTTACCTCGCTATAGTTTATATTACAATACATATCCATGTGTGTTAGGATATAAGTGCTAGTAGAGTAGAGCCGATAATATAGTCTGTATGTGCTCAATGTTAGTGTATTCGAAGCTAGTATAGTAGAAAGTATAGCCTATATGTGCTTGTAGTACTAGATCCTAAAAATGTAGTCTTTATGTCTATAATATGGTTATGTATGTCGGTCGGGGGCCGATTATGTATGTATGTCGGGCGGGGCCAATCATGTAGATTGGGTGGCGCCTATTTATAAGTTGGTTGGGCAGGGCCCATTGTGTCGTTTGGTCGGGACCCGTTTATATGCTTAGTGGGCGGGGACCGATATATGTAGTGTAGTATATGGTATTTTGGGAAACCAACTAAGCTTCGTTCTTACCTAATTGATTATAAATGTTTTTTAGGTATTTCATTGATTCGTGAGAAGGGCAAGGTTAGACTATACACACACGTACTCGCAACATGTTTCCACATAATATAATTATACTCTAATATATTTGAATAAATAAAAATAAAAATATGGGTTGAAAATGGGGACGCGACAATTTAGTTAGTCAATTTTAATTGATTAATTAAAGTCATAGAATTAAATCTTGATTAAATGTATTAATTATTGTCATTTCGTCCCTAGTCCGATTAGAATTAATAGACATAAAAATTAAATTGCTTAAATTACGCTATATATATGGTAAAGTTATATATATATATATATATATATATATATATATATATATATATATATATCTATATATATATATATATAACCTTAATCTATTCATAATTATACATATTCGTTTATAAAGTATGAGACTTGTAGCCTAAACCACTTGAAAAGATATATATTTCTTACATAGCTTGATACATTAGTCCAAAAGCCATTTGTCAAGATAAGTTGATAATATTGATACAACATCAAAAAGTGAAAAATTAATATTTTAACAAAAAAAATATGACCAGTTACCGGTTGCAATGAATAATTGAATATAGTTTACCCATGTTTGCCACAAAATAATGCAGTGACGTAGGAGGAGCCCACCACTCAAATTATTACGTTTCGTGCTCGCTACTAGCTTAGAAAATGAAGAAAATACGTGTGATATATGCTGTGGCTGCTTCACAAGGAGATAACCGATAGTGTGAGTAATGTTTCTCCAAAGAAGTTTCGCGGATGGACCCCAGCTTCCCGTCACTTTCTTCTTTAATTATTCACTTTCTATCGTTAGTGTTACTCCAATATTGTCTCGCTGATTTAATATTACTCCTCTCGTGTTGCACGTTTTTGCTGTCTGTCTTTCAAGGCCATATAAAAACCTCACCATCGTTCACAGAAATCAAAATCTCCCAAAGAGAGACTAAGAGAACTAGAGAGAGTAAGACAGTAAGATAGTAAGAGGTAGAGAGATGGTGAGAACTCCAACTTGTGACAAGAATGGTCTAAAGAAGGGAACATGGACACCTGAGGAAGATCAGAAATTGATAGATTATGTTGCTAATTATGGCTGTTCCAACTGGCGACAACTTCCCAAACATGCAGGTTCAACTTGTTAAAAACTTTTTATTTTATGTTGTCCTTAGATGACTGGATGTTTACTTCAGTATTAACACTTGATGTCAATATTGGTTTTAGGGTTGTCAAGGTGCGGGAAGAGTTGTAGACTACGTTGGATAAACTACTTACGTCCGAACGTCAAAAGAGGAAACTTTAGCCAAGAAGAGGACACACTTATACTAGAATTGCATCAATCGCTTGGAAATAGGTACTTTTTCTTTTTTAGTTATTTATTTATTTAATTATTTATTTTTGGCTAAAATGTTACATATTTTGAAGTGTTTGGAGGTAGTAATTGTTGCTAAATATACTGATATATGCAGATGGTCTACCATTGCAACACACCTACCTGGAAGAACAGATAACGAGATTAAAAACCACTGGCATTCATCCCTAAAGAACCGTTCAACTGCTTTTATATCTAATCCAACCAAGGGATATGGTTTCAGAAGGGGAAGTAGTTGTAAGGAAGATAAGATGAATGAAGCTTGTGATATTGACTCAGTGTTGGACCTTACTACTCATAACATACTTGAAAGCATGCCGATCCTTAATGGCCCACTACCAATATCAACGAGCATATCGTCAGTGTCTAACACGGCATCTTCAAGCACGAACTCCAAGAGTTTGGGTGTGGAAGATGATGCTAGTTCTAGGCAAGTGGTTGGAGTAAGCATGGATGATTTTTGGACCGAACCATTTTTGCAAGATTTTGATGGCAGCATTAATTGCACAAGTGATGATTTCTTGAAGCCATTGCTTGACCTTGGGATTTTATTTCCACAAAGCCCCATTGATGATCAAGAAAATTTCTGGTTGTATGGATTAGAAATTGAACAAACAAATGAAGTACAATGGTGAAAAACCTTCCATTTTGATCTCAACTTGTTCGTTTTCTTTCACTCTTAACTGTGTTATTTCTTTAATTTTTATATCTTGTATTTTTTCCCCACTTCACTTGAATAAGTGAAGCTCAATGTCAACAACAAAGAAAATGATTCGTCCCGAATAACCATTATCCACATTTTTTGAAAACAAAAAGTATGGACCATGGATAAAGGTAAAAAAAAAAAAAAAAAAAAAAGCCTAGCTAGTAAGCTAGTTTCGACAACCTTTATTTTTTAAGTAATGAATTTCATCAACTACAGTTTTCTCCAATGATCATATATATCTCACTATCTTTAAACGTAAACAATCGAACACATTTTCAAAAATATTATTCCTCTAATCCATTTTTCATTTCCAACTCATATTACTAAAAGAAAATTTCTGCTAAATTTATTCATCTTTAAAAAAATACTTTAATCTAATTAGATTATTTTATTTATTAATTTAATAAATAATCTATTTATTTATAACTACATATATTCAATATATTAAAGCATTATTGCCTCTGTGGTTTGGTTTGTTAAATCGAGGTCAAGGTTCGACCACCGATACATCCACTTAATTTTTCTATCTTGCCCATATATGATCGATTCTAACTGTCGATGTGTGTAATTTTATATATAAATTTTAGGGTTCAAAACCTATTACATCCGAAATGTTACCAAAATATTATCGATGTTCCATAAATTACCCCCACCCGATGGGCCATGTGGTAAATTCCGCATAAACGTCCAAATGATACAGTTCACAAAGTTAAAAAAAGGTCTAATAATAGATAATTCGTAATATCGAAATGAAAATCATACTACAAAGATCACATTTTCTTAAAAATGTGTCAAACTCTAATTCTCTAAACTTTTATGTGTAACAAACAAACCGAATTTGTTAATAATAGAAATTAACTGCCAAGGACCTAGAGATTTACATATACAAGACATAAATTAAGAAAGAGAACAAAGAAAAACGCCAATCCCAAAGAAGCAACGCAAAGAACATTGCCAAACAAATCAATCTGAAAGATATAGGAAAACTCGAAACCAACAAGAAGGAAACCATGCCTACGTCCTCGAACCTACCAAGGTAAAACCAAACACATCGAAAGATACAGCAGCGCGCAAATCCATAAAACTGAAAAAAAATAAAAAATAAATAAAATAACAATGTTGCTCTCAAGAGTTGTACGAGATAAATTAGAGTAATCCCATTAAAGCCAAAATAAAACCAATGTTGATCACCTTGAATCTTAGAATATGCTAACGCTACAAGGATAACACTTATATTAGCGACGACAACCACTATTAGCGGCGACAACCAACATTCGTATTGGTTGTCGCCGCTAATGGCGTCGCTGCTAATGCTCTTCAACCATGATGCGTGTGAAAGTCTGAGATTACACCTTATTCGTCGATCTTGTTGCAAATCCAATGGCTTGGACCTTCGTTGCGTACGTTATCAATAGTGGCGACACCAATGGTGGTGACGGTGTCGCCGCTTATACTCCAAATAGATGGCGCCAAAACTTCCCTCCAGGCACGTGTCGCCACAATTAATTCATCGTCGCTGGTAATACTCTTGCATCGTCGATAAAGGTCTACACGAATAATAGCCTTTCGTTCTTTCCTCTTCTGTTCTATGTCCCCAAATGACTCCACCGATTCTCTGCTAATTCGTTTCGTTCTTTCCTCGATTGCGCCGGAAACTTCAACGCCAAAAGCCCCAAACCTCCCCATCACCGGCGACCCCCATCACCGGCGACGTCCACAGGTGACGTTTTCTTCTTCTGTCTTCTCGGTTTTTTTTTCTACTTTTCTTTTACTTTTCTCTTCTCCCTACTCAAAACTCGAATTTTCATCTTTTCCTTATCGGAATTTCCAGCTTTACTGCCGAGATTTAGAGCTCCCTACCAGAAAATCTCAAAATTTGGAACATCAATTATATTCTCCACCGGATTACACCTCCACAGGTTCTTCGTCACCTTTTTATTTTTAATTTTGTATGCGAAATGTATATTTTGTATATGTATGTGTATAATGTATGTATATATGTGCTTTTTAAGTGTATTATTTGTGTATAATGCATGTATATATGTGTTGTGCATTTTTATGTGTATAATGTATGTATATGTGTATTTGTGTAGTTGTATGTGTATCATGTGTGTGTGTGTGTATATATATATACACACACACACACACACACATATATATATATATATATATATATATATATATATATATATACACACACACCACACATGATACACATACAACTACACAAATACACACACACACACACACATATATATATATATATATATATATATAGTTGTATGTATATGTGTATTTGTGTAGTAATATGTGTATCATGTGTGTGTGTGTGTTATATATATATATATATATATATATATATATATGTGTGTGTGTGTGTGTTTGTGTGTGTGTGGGGGTGGGTGGGTGTGGGTGTGTTTCTATGTGTATTATGTGTCTAGAAGTGTATTTGTATGCATAGACATTAATCTGTAATAGAAAAGTATGAAACAAAAATATGGATGCTATAAAGGAAAAAATGAGCATGCCCTTAATTTGTAAAGTACAATGCTAGTATGGAAAAAATGAGCATGCCTTACTTTGTAAAGTATAATGTTATACTGGAAAAAATGAAAGTAAAATAGTTTGTGTATTTGTAAGCAATTCGGAAAGTACAATGTTATAATGAAAAAAAAAAGTTTGTGTATGCAATTTGGAAAGCACAATGCTATAATGGAAATAATGAAAAAAATAGGTCGTTTACTACTTCGTAAACCGGGTAAACATCCTAAGATTGTCAAGGACAACATAGGTCGGCAAGAATTCGAGTTGAATTGGTCGAAACATAGCATATTTTTTGAGCTCGAGTATTGGTTTTCTTTGCAGCTGAAGCACAACATAGATGTCATGCATGTCGAGAAAAATATGGGTGAGAGTGTTTTGGGTACTTCTCTGATGAATGATAAGAAAAAAGAAACATCAAATGCACGGGAGGACTTGATAAATTTGAATATTCAGCGTAATCAATGGTTGCATAGTAGGGTTAGCAAGTTCAGTAGACCACATGCAAGATACTCATTCAAGAAACCTGAGCACCATATATTTGGTCAATTTATAAGAGATGTTAAACTGCCATATGGGTTTGGATCTAACATCAATAAGAAAGTGGTAGATAATGATACTAACATTATTGGGTTGAAATCTCACGAGTATCACATTCTTATGCAACGTTTGATACCGATTGGAGTTAGAGCATTATTGGACAAATAATCTTCTACACCAATTGTATATCTTTGTACGTTTGTAAGCAAAATTGTTCCAATACACTAAAGGTGGAGGATATGAGGAAAGCAAAATAAGACATTATTAGAATCTTGTGCAAGTTAGACTAGATTTATCGTCCAATTTTTTTAACATTATGATTCATTTGGTTTTTTCATTTACCTGATGAAGCGATTGTCGAAGGCCCGGTATGTATGAGATGAATGTATCCATTCGAAAGGTATATGAAAAAAACTAAAAAAAACTATGTCAGAAATAAGGCGATGACGGAAGGTTGTATAGCTGAAGGTTATGTTGCTGAAGAAGCTTTCTCATTTTTTTCGATGTACATTCGAGATGTGCACACTTAATTCAATCGCACTGAAAGAAACGAGGATGTTGTCATTGAAAAAACAAATTTTTGTATGTTTGAGTCTAAGTGTCGACCAGCCAGCATAACGCAAATCAAACATGTTGATCTAAGGGAAAAACGTAATATATAATGGTTTATAATGAACTAATGTGAAGAAGTTAGACAATACATCGAGTAAGTGTTCTTATCTTTATCTTTCATTATTTATTGTTACTTTTTTCCATTCATCAATTATATATATATATATATATATATATATATATATATATATATATATATATATATATATATATATGTCTTCATTATAGAAAATTCAAATTTAAACATCCTGAAAATGACGAAAATACCGAATTTCCCAACTGGTTTCTTGAAAAGGTAATAATAATTATCAAACAAGTATGTTTGTTCAATATAACAAATGTAGAATACATAAAAATTTAATACATGTTTAATAGGTTTTTCATATGGAAACAGAAAACTCTCCGTAGTTCCCCAAAGAGTTGTCGGCCCTTTCAATGGGTTCATAAATGGATGTCTATACTTACACCGCATGCATAGTCAATGGTGTTAGGTTTATGGTACTTAGTCGTGATGCACAACGCGCAACGCCAAATTCTGGGGTTCTAGCGGTGGGTGAGAATGGAGAGAAATATTATGGCCAGTTAGAAGAGATTATAGAGGTGTAGTATCCATATGATTATTTGACTGTAATAATTTCGTTACAAGTGGTTCGATATGGGAGATATTCCAAATGATAATTTCATCAGTATCAACACGGAACAAGAAGCGTACCAAGATGATCAACTCATATATGCTTTCCAAGCCAAACAAGTGTTCTACATATCCATGAGCCTTCTCGAAGAAACCAAAATGACAACCCTTGTTGTGTCGTCGAGCATGTTAATCATACAAGTATTTGGGATCTACCATCTGAAAATGCTCCTATCCAAAATTCTTACAGTAAATCTGTCCAAAATGTCGACAATGTGGAGGCCGAAAATGTTGATGTAGTTCAAAACAACTCTTCATCCGATGCTAGAATGTTTATCGACTTCTCACAATAATTTCAAAGCAATGGTAATTTAGCTTAAAACAATGCTAATTATGAGGATGAGACTAAAGTACCTCCCCCAACGGGTAGAATCGATAATGCTATCAAGGAAGAAACTGATTATGATGATGACGATTCTGATTATGATACTGATGAAGAAGACATTGAAATATATGAGAGGGGTTCTAATTAAAAAAATCATATGTTTTTTTGTAATAGAAACTTTATTTGAAATCTAACTTTTATTCATATTGTTTGTCTATAT